TTACAGGATTTAATGTGAAATTATTTGTCTCTTCTTTTATAGTACACGAGTTTGACGTCAGGTTTGTACACATGAAGTCTCTAGTCTAAAAAAGCCAGTGACAGAACGATAAACAGATATTAAAGCAACTGTCTAGGGCCAAGTAAGGGAGGTGAAAAAGCCAGTATTACGCAGAACGATAAACAGTTACATAGACGGATCCAGGGGTGGGGAAAATTTGGTTGATTTTATAGGGAAGCAGGGGCGGATCCAGCCATTTTATAAAAGGGGGTTCCCAACTCAGGACAAAGGGTGGGTGGGGGGGTGTGTTCCAACTATGTGTCCCCATTCAAATGCATTGATCGTCCAAAAAAGGGGGGTTCCAACCCTCGGAACCCTCCATCCGGATCCGCCACTGGGGAAGCATGACGGGAGTGGGCAACCCTTAGGTCAGTCAGCGGCCACCCCCCTTTTATGAAAAGTTGTGGATCCGCCACTGAGATTTATATAAGCAGGTTTTCTTTGTGTAGATACCTTAAAATATCACCAACTGTGACTGAGTACACAATTTGATTCATTTTAGCTCATTAGCTGTGCTCACTCGCTAAAAAGGTTCATTGCGGGCCTGCTCACTGGCTAACATTTTACGATATTCATGACTCGTGTAGAAAAGCCGATAATCTATACATGTGTGTGAGGAGTAGTTATCAAGCTTGCTTTCGTCTGTAAAAACTGTCTTAGGCCAAGTTAGGGAGGTGAAAAAGCCAGTAATAGAACGATAAACAGATGATCAGGTTTTCTTCATATAGATCCCTTAAAATATCCCCTACTGAGGACACAATTTGATTCATTTTAGCTCATTAGCTGCGCTCACTCGTCACAATAGGTTCATTGCGGCTTACTGGCTAATATGTGTAGAAAAGCTGATAACCTATACATACATGTACATGTATATGGTCAGATCATATGTTTTCGTACATCATATGAATTTGTACTATGCATGCCTTTTTAATGGAAATTGTGACGACAGTATGCATTCTTAATAGCAAGGAAAACGATGAGAGGAGGATACATATGTCAACCAAAATTTTTCAGCAACGTCAAAATATGTGAGGACACCCTATCAAGATCTATCAAGCTTGAGTTCATGTTGCGTTAAAACTGTTTTAGGAAGGTGAAAAATACCAACAATATAACAATAAATAGATAATCGATATTGTAAAATATCAATGTTTTGAAAAGCCAATGATCTACATATATACTTGAATATGTCAACCACAAAATAAAACTGATTTAATTTACACCACAACTGTTGAAAAAACCTTTATGTTTATATAACTTATCTCATTCTAGTCCATTCAACTGACAGAATCGGTGTACATTTCATGAACTCTTTAATAACAAGAATCATCATGGACTATTCTTTATAGCAATATCTGTTCAGCCATTTAGGGGTCTTTTGCATTCAAAGTTTAGTTTAAGTGGGTTTATTTTGAGAAAAAGAACTCAATTTCCAGATCAAAGTTAACATTTTCTATATATTTTGCTGTGTCAAAATGACCTAATGAATATAAAGGACAGTACCCATATAGACGAAAAAATGGTATATCACATTCTACACATGACATTTTAGCAGGAAAGACTGCCATTGGAGTATATAACTTTTAACCTGTGTATATATAATTAAAATACGATAATAAAATTCATGTCTTTTTTAGGACTTCTGATCCAACCATGTAGTATGGCATGTTTGTGAGATATGGTTTTGGTGGATAGGATGTTCATGAAGGACCTGTAGTACAAAGTATATCACTGGATTGAGCTCTTTGTCTAAGTGTATTATTAAAGTGCTTTGCTTTGAGCTCAGTTCATTGTTATGCAATTCATTCTTTGTGAAATAAAGATTTGACAGACAACTCTCATGTACAAGGATTTGTCAGGATAGTATCCATTCTATGTACAATGTAAGTAATAAGGAGATAAAAGCATTTTATTATGATTTGAACCAAACATTTTTTGTCCATTAACCAAATTTAAAAAAAAGAACAAATTTACCGGACAATGCTACACTCGCTACTAGCAATATGATGCTAGGTTGTTTTAATAAATCTGTACTGCCTACTGATGACTCGGTCCTGAGTGTAAATGGTCATTCAGTATGTTAAACAAAAAGACCAAAATTTATAAGGCCTATCTGGCCTAATTGATTTCTAAAACTATATTTCATTGTACATGTTCAACATTTTTCATTCATTTGTTTATTTCTTAATTTGTGTGAATTAACATTGTTACAGTAAATGTTAATTTCTACACTTTCATACCACAACAAATACTGTATTGGTATCACTTATATTTGTATCCATATAACAAAAAAAATTGAAGAGAGAATAATTTTGCAATACCTTTTTCATATTGAATACTATAACTTTTTTGATATTTAGACATATTAAGTAGATTTTCATAATACCTACTTGACATGCTTGAAATTCTATCAGATTACTTTTTTGCTTCGGCCAGCTTTGGAGATGTTATCAAAGAATTGATAAAAAACAACACTGAAGTTTACTTTCTAGCTCATCTAGCCCCAAGCATCATGTCAGGCATTGTCATTACTAAAAACCAATAAATGTCTTCTAATCTGAGAAACAATTTCGACATTTTAACAAAATATTTTACTAATGATACTGACAATCGACCACAAAGTTATATAAATAGAACCATACAAATAGTGAGCAAATACATATAAAAAATATGTGGTATGATTGCCAATGAGACAATTCTCCACAACAGACCAAAATGACACAGAAATTAACAACTACGGGTCACCGTACAGCCTTCAACAATGAGCAAAGCCCATAACACATAGTCATTTATGTTATTTATGTACACAAAATAAACGAAAAACAAATATTATGTAACACATAGACAAACGACAACCACTGAATTACAGCCTCCTGATATCATGTTCTCAGATATCATCTCCCATTTAAAAAATGAACCTATTATGTGTTGCTCTCCTAGCTACAAAATGTATCCAAAATCAAAGATGTGGAAAATATTCTATCATAATCATTTGGTAATTAATGCAATTAGTGTCTCTTCCATGCCCGTCTTGAACATAAAATCTAAATATTAAATAAACAACACTCCTCATGCTCAGGTTGGTTGTCATCGTACAACACAGTTAATAACACCATATAGGAAAAACATAGAACTCCTTTTGTCATATAAAACACTCATCCAAACATACTATCCACATTCATCTGTGTCCACACTTGTTTTTAATAAATATATTTACTTCATTGTTAGTGAGATGATTGTTTCATTCGTATATTTTGCTAGTAACGCTAAGGATATGTTTAAAAAGCCTATTTTAGAAATTGACTAAAGCCTTGCACTTACATTCTTACCAGCATTTGCTTCACTATAAAAATAAGGAGAAAGCATTGTGAAAAATATATCGAGAATGTCAAGATCTAATTACAATATCAGATGAGCAATAATGAGTCTTTAAATGACGATATTTGACTAATATTATCGTTATTACCTTATAACTTAAAAACTAAAATAAGACAGACAGACATTTCAAAATAGCATAAATCAACAGCAGAAGATATATAAAGGCGAATATGACTGAAACCACCAATTGACGCTTTACAGGAGTTATTACCCTTGAATGACGATTTTTGACCTATCATTAGTATTTTTTTCCATATCATCCTGAAAACTGTTATGTATCGATAGATGCTATTAACAACACCAATGATAAGCAAATCCATTTTACAATTACTTTACACCAATCAAAACTGTTAATTGACTGTTTATCAGGGTTATTGACCTTAAATGACAATTTTAATCTATGTTTTATATCAGTTAGCATTTTGCATTTTGTTTATAAAAAATCTCAACTCTAACAAAACCTGAACTAATCTAATAATACATTACAATCATTGACAATGATAGCAGTGATTATATTTGACAGTACAACAGACATCGTCGACCATCACCAACTGACAATCAAAGACAAATATATCGTCCAGATATCCTGACTTGGTAAAGGCACAGCATATGCTGGGGCTCAACTAGGTTTACCAACATATAAATATACTCATCATATATACCAGGATTGAAATTTTGTATTTGCGCCAGACGCGCGTTTCGTCTACAAAAGACTCATCAGTGACGCTCGAATAAAAAAAAAGTTAAAAAGGCCAAATAAAATACGAAGTTGAAGAGCATAGAGGACCAAAAATTCCTAAAAGTTGTTTACACATGAATTCATAAATTTGCATACTCTTCAATTATGGCGTTTCTATTTTTGAGATAATTTTCTGTATGTTTATTTCAATTATTATCGAGTCCTTTCGAAAGATTTGCCTATTCATCTAGATTGCTTACACCATTATCTAAAATGTGTATCGATGTGAAAAATCGATGTTTGTTCTACAATGAGATTGCCAGGAAATATTAACAATACATGTGTTTGATTTCTTTCCTAGATTGTCTATACTTTAATGGTATAACCCAAAATATTTGTTTTTGTTTTGTGTCGTTAATTTGTCAAAACCTACAAGCAAAGCAAGAAGAAAAAACTAAACATGTATACAGATTGACGGCAATGTTTAACATCAAGGTTATCAATGTTAAAAATTTGATTAAACACATAAGTATATATTATCTTTTTATTTTGAAAAAAAAATGTATTTACGACATACATGAGGCTTAATTTATATAAACGACATACTTAAGTCTAAACTTAAATTTAAATGTTTCCTTAAAATACTATTTGTTTTTTTTTACAAATGTGTGGTTAAATTTACATGATATTGTTTTAAATGACTTGTCTAATTAGGTATTGATTTGACCGCGTAAAGCATGACTAACGAATCGATAATAATAGTTGTGAACTAGGGTTTATAATTAGGTTTTGCACTCTCGGTATGCTACCCTTTCTTCGGAATTATTTAAATCAAAACTTTATTATGACAACGAAGACGCTTTAATATCGAAACTACAGATCAAATATCATTTTATGACATTTCAAATAGCAGTCTCTAGTAATAATTTGCTGATCATGTAAAAGGTAGGTCATTGATAAATAATGTGTTATACATTTAATATTATCAGTTCTATTTTCGTATATCATGTATAATACAGCGAGATGTAAAAAACTATGCGTTATGATTTGCAGAATTCATTTCGATACAAAAGTGTTTAAGAAAGGGTAATAGATATGTTATTTTTTTTAGCGTTTCTGTTCAAAGAATTGTTGATTTAGTAAGTTTATTCAAGTTTAAACTATAATAATTTGGCTTCGATTTTTCTTTTCACATAAACTTAAAACCATAATTTTATTAAAGTTTAATGACAGATTTAAATATAATTAATTCCTATGTTCTTAATAAGTCAACAATTGATCTGCTTAAAAGTAGAAATAGAAACTATAAGAAAGATTATCTCTCTTTGAAACGACTAACGGAGCACTAAAACTACATGTAAAGTATTTTACTGCATAACAATTGAAACCATTTCAAAATTTATTGAGACTGTTGCCTATTAAGGATAAGGACATTCGTTGTATTTCCGTTAACTTTGAGAGATACCCCAGCGACTTTAAAGTAATATTTATGTATTCAGGTTGTTAATAATGGATTGTGATAAACGTCAAATGGTATCTCTAACATGATTATCACCACAAAAACATGTTGATGTGATATGAGTATGAACCATGCCTTGTATAAACATGTTAATGTGATATGAGTATGAACCATGCCTTGTATAAACATGTTAATGTGATATGAGTATGAACCATGCCTTGTATAAACCGACACGATCAGCTTATTTTTCTATTCATAAAGTAACATTTATCAGAAAGCCATGTCCGTACCGATATTTTAACTCCGAGCCGACCAGTCTTTGGTCCCTCTAATATGATTTCTTTGCATTTTATTTGCAATATTTGATTGTAGATCTATACATTTCCCTGTATTTCATTTATGAAAATTTCAACACTGTATTCAAACTGAGGTCTCAGTGGAGGAATAAAAGTTTATTGTAAGAGTACATTGTCAATTTTACCGTCGAAAGCACCTTTAACACGTTTTTTTACATTATACTGTACTAGTACTAATTTCAATCGAGCAAACCAATAAACAAACGATCAAATGTAAACAGTTTCTCTCTTTTAGTTTCTGATACATTGAGTTTTAATGATCATATTTTTACTTTCAGTTTATCATAATGATTCATATTTATATTATCAGGAAAGGGCTGTACGATTTATATATGAAGACAATGTTAGTTCGTATGATGAATTACTTGTACGAGCAAAGGTTCCATCAATGAAACTTAGACGTACAATGTATGCGTAACATGGCTATTGAATGTTTAAGAGTTTTATATAAATTGTCACCACCATGTTTACATGATTTAGTTGTATTGAAAGATTGTAAATATAATTTTAGATATTCTAATATTGTAGATATACCTAGGGTTCGAATATCAACCTACGGTAAGAACTCTTTTAAATATACAGCTGCTGTTTCATGGAATGATCTACCTGATGATTTTAGAAAAAATTGCTAATTTCAGTCAGTTTAAAAATATTTTAAAGTTATGGAATGGAAATGACTGTAAGTGCACAGTTTGTGCAGATCATTGATTAATATATCATGTTAAATATTTACCATTTAGACCACATCCTATTTTTAATTTATGATATGCATTTTAATTACCAGCTTACTAATCATGGTTAGATTACTTTTGTGTTATGTAACTTATTGTATGCGTATTATGTACTTTATTGTTGTGTTTTGTATGTCGGTTAAAAGCTCATTAGAGCTTTTGTTGTGTCCTTGTTTGTATACTTTTTGTGTTATGTAACTTATTGCATGCGTATTATGTACTTTATTGTTGTGTTTATTTATTATTTATTATCAACCAATGACGTTTTATACATTATTCAGGAGAAGTCGATCTGTGTTATTTCAGGAAACATTGCAACTATGGAGTCGAGATCTTTTTACGTGGCAGATTATATCGTATTTACTGGGGTCATTGTGTTATCAATCAGCATTGGTATCTTCCATGCCCTGTCAGGTGGGAAACAAATGACCACTTCAGAATATCATCTGGGAAACCGGAGAATGTCAATTATCCCTGTTGCCATTTCGTTAATAGTGTCATTTGAATCATCCATTATGATGCTCGGAACTCCCGCAGAAATATATGTGTTTGGTATACAGAACATTATGTGGGCCTTTGGATGGTTTATTGCTAATTTACTCTCGATTAAACTGATGTTGCCTCTGATTCACCCACTTAAAATCACGAGCGCTTATGAGGTATGCAGCATTATAGTATCATAAATATATTAAAAACAAATGGCTAAACGTCAGTAATATAAAATCATATCTCGACGTTATTCACTTCGTTTATTTACATCCATTAGGTTTAAAAGTCAACAAACTATAAGCATAAAAAGCAAAAATATGATGGTATTTTAGAATATCGCTCAATTCAAATTCTGATTCAGTTGAAAAAGTGGTACGTAACTAAGAAAACACTGTTATACACAAGAGACCGTCAGTTTTGGAACCAATACGTGTAATTTATTTACGAGTACCAAATTCAAAAGGATCATGAAGGGACAGCAAACATCGTCTTAGATCTAAAGCGAGATTGAGCCTGACAACTATTTTTAGTACAATAACCTCAATTAAATGAAAATGTAAAAAGTTGCGATAAAACAAATACATGGATTAAATGATTCCTTTGTGCAAAAAAAAAAAACAAACAAAAAAAAAACCAACAAACCGAAAACCCAAGACACGATGAGTGTCATTTTCTTCATCTAATATTAAAGATAAATGGTATCATTTCTACAGCTGACGTTTCAGTGTATTTGATGCTTTTTTTAAACGGAGATCGTCAAAACAATTCTACCAGCTTATATCATGTGAGAATATATCTATATCGGACAGTTAATGTTTTATAAGACTGAACAACCAAACATAATGGACACATTGTTAAAATTGACTTAAGTTTTATATGTAAATTACAGTTGCTTGTTTGTAATGTTACACAATGTTTTCGGTGCTACAATGACTATTTCTATCTACCATTACGTCTACCTTTAGTTCTTAGACTTATGATTTGTTATTCATCCTTTGTGTTTTCTGACTCTTTTCAAGTAAGTTTGTGGTTAACAAGATTAGAACCATGGTCAAAAATTTCTTTTTCAGTATTTGGAATTACGATTTGAATCACATGCTGTACGTATGTTCGGTACTATGCTTGGAATGATTCATTATGTGAGTACCTACTTGATTATGTGTTATGTAACTCCCTTTCTTCATTATGTAAGTACCTACTTGATTATGTGTTATGTAACTCCTTTTCTCCATTATGTAAGTACCTACTTGATTATGTGTTATGTAACTCCCTTTCTCCATTATGTAAGTACCTACTTGTTTATGTGTTATGTAACTCCCTTTCTTCATTATGTAAGTACCTACTTGATTGTGTGTTATGTAACTCCCTTTCTCCATTATGTCAGTACCTACTTGATTATGTGTTATGTAACTCCCTTTCTTCATTATGTAAGTACCTACTTGATTATGTGTTATGTAACTCCCTTTCTCCATTATCTAAGTACCTACTTGATTTTGTGTTATGTAACTCCCTTTCTCCATTATGTAAGTACCTACTTGATTATGTGTTATGTAACTCCCTTTCTTCATTATGTAAGTACCTACTTGATTGTGTTTTGTAACTCCCTTTCTTATCTGAATTATGTGACATACAAACAAAAACCTTACGTAAAGGTAGACTGCTTGTGAGTGCAAAATTTCAAATAGCCATTCTGCGTTGTGAAATTGATTAAAATAATGACAAAGTTTAATAACGTAATGGGACAAATGCTATTTGTAAAGTTAGTGTGACGGTATTGCGACGACAAGCAAAACTCCAGCCAAACGCATCCAGTCATGTCATAAACAAGGATAGAAATCTTAAATATTTAATGTATTTGATTTTCCTAAAACTTTCATCTCGATCGTATCTTATTAGTTTTTGTCTCTCCATTTCAAAACACAAAATGCGCTTTTGAATCGGTAGCATAACTAATTTGAATACTACAGACAGATTATATATAAATTCTACCACTGGATCGAGAGAGAAACCATTTCTCACCTTTCGAGAAAGGTACATTTTTAAATCAAAACAAAATGCTTGCGAGTAAAGGATGTAGGCTATAACTACGTGAGAGTAAAGGATGTATAACTACTTGAGAGTAAAGGATGTACAACTACTTGAGAGTAAAGGATGTATCTACTTGAGAGTAAAGGATGTATAACTACTTGAGAGTAAAGGATGTATAACTACTTGAGAGTAAAGGATTCATAACTACTTGCGAGTAAAGGATGTCTAACTACTTGAGAGTAAAGGATGCACAACTACTTGAGAGTAAAGGATGCATAACTACTTGAGAGTAAAGGATTCATAACTACTTGCGAGTAAAGGATGCATAACTACTTGAGAGTAAAGGATGTACAACTACTTGAGAGTAAAGGATTCATAACTACTTGCGAGTAAAGGATGCATAACTACTTGGGAGTAAAGGATGTATAACTACTTGAGAGTAAAGGATGTATAACTACTTGAGAGTAAAGGATGTACAACTACTTGAGAGTAAAGGATGCATAACTACTTGAGAGTAAAGGATGTATAACTACTTGGGAGTAAAGGATGCATAACTACTTGGGAGTAAAGGATGTATAACTACTTGAGAGTAAAGGATGTATAACTACTTGGGAGTAAAGGATGCATAACTACGTGAGAGTAAAGGATGTATAACTACTTGGGAGTAAAGGATGCATAACTACTTTAGAGTAAAGGATGTATAACTACTTGGGAGTAAAGGATGTACAACTACTTGAGAGTAAAGGATGCATAACTACGTGAGAGTAAAGGATGTATAACTACTTGAGAGTAAAGGATGTACAACTACTTGAGAGTAAAGGATGCATAACTACTTGAGAGTAAAGGATGTATAACTACTTGGGAGTAAAGGATGTACAACTACTTGAGAGTAAAGGATGCATAACTACGTGAGAGTAAAGGATGTATAACTACTTGGGAGTAAAGGATGTATAACTACTTGAGAGTAAAGGATGTATAACTACTTGAGAGTAAAGAGTGTATCTACTTGGGAGTAAAGGATGTATAACTACTTGAGAGTAAAGGATGTATAACTACTTGAGAGTAAAGAGTGTATCTACTTGAGAGTAAAGGATGTATAACTACTTGAGAGTAAAGGATGCATAACTACTTGAGAGTAAAGGATGTACAACTACTTCAGAGTAAAGGATGCATAACTACTTGAGAGTAAAGGATGCATAACTACTTGGGAGTAAAGGATGTATAACTACTTGCGAGTAAAGGATGTCTAACTACTTGTATACGCGAGGAACTAGATGACCAAAAATTACCCCAACAGAATTGCCAAATCCATCTAAGGATGTCTCTTACATGTCTTAGTTTCTTAATAATTTCCAAATTCAACGGATAATTTTATCAAAGGCATGTTTTATGCTTTCCTCGTACTACCCACGCAAACTACCAGAGGTTTAACATTCACTTGTATGATCCAATGAGAAGCTCATGTGTTTGACATTCTGTTGAGCAATGCATAATGAAATAAAAACAAACATGAAGGTGAATTGTTATTTTTCTACATATTCAGAGTCAAAGTTTTTCTTATACCAAAAAAAAAAAAAAAAAAATATATACTTATTTGTACAACAAGAAAATAATGATTGAAAAACATAAAACGATACTACAATAATACATAACACAAATGCTTGGTCTGGGAAGGGGGTCAACTAAGCCATCAAGAAAGATGCAATAAAATAAATCTTTCCTACGCCTATAAATCTTGTCGACAGTAGAGAAATATCTTTAATATCGCATGTAATAAGGTGATGGAATTGTTTCTCCATTGATTTTTAGTAGACGTAGTGTAGGAAAATTATATCTTTTTTTCAATTATCCACAAAAAGGATCGTATTCATTCTGTAAGATGTCATAAGGCTTGTTGTCTATTTTCTTTATTTGGTCTTTTAAACTTTTTTGATTTGAGCTTCACTAGACGAAACGCGCGTTTGGTGTACACAATTTATATCCTGGTATCTATGATGAGTTCATACCCTTTGGTCAAGGTAGAGAAATCAAAGGAAAGCAAGTGACGTCATAATTAAATTTTGACCAATGGAGAACCACACATTGATTATAAGATCTTATAAAAAAAAATTAACCGTTCGGGGAAAGTATAAATCGGCTAAGAATTAGAGAAATGTATAGATTCTACAACTCTACCACGTTCATTTCGATATTTTCCTACTCGAAAAAGTTGATAATTTAAATAACGACAGATAATAAATATTGTAGTCAAAGGGTAAATAAAGTGGTAGAATTTGTTTCTATATTGATTTATTGAGAAATGCCCAGTTCAATGTTCCGAATGTGTACGTATTTCGGGAAACCACTCAAGTACAGCTGTACCTATAAAGATATTTCAACAGCTTTGTTAAATACATTTTGTAGAAAAATATCCTTTTAGGTAAAGCTCTCGCTTATATCTAAATCTCTAAATGAGGCTATTTTGGCAGCTTTTGCCGATTTGGACTAAATGTAAGAAATGTGAAGCCCTAATGCAAATATGTACTTAGACAAAATTTAAAAATATAAATACTAATGTTCGACAGACTAATGTTATATAAACATTTGAAGACTGTTATTTGGTAGATTTATATAGTTCTTTTTGATTTTCGTATTCAAGGGCTAAAACGTGTCCTTATACCTTCTCCTTTAAAACAGGCTGGTCAACAGCGGTTTAAAAGCATACAAAATTAGAGAAATTATTATTATATTTATTTTGCAATATAAATCACATGATTTGAAAGGATATCAGAACTTTCAGAAATATAAACCACAGTTTAAAACAATACAGTCGCATGTGGGTCACCATAACAAATTTTTGTTAATAGTTTTGTATTCATTTTTCAGACCATATATATGGGGATCGTATTATATGGGCCAGCAATTGCATTAGAGGCAGGTTTGTATATAAATGTACATTATTCCATTAAACAATCTCACATTTTAAATATCACCAAGAAAAGATAGAGTTGGTAAGATAAAACAAGAACAAATGACATTGTAAATGAACGAGCATGTAAGGTTTTGATGTGTTCGATTCATATATCTAGAACAATGTTTTTTCATCAGGAACGTTATTAGCCAATTATTATTAGAGAAGACAAAACGGGATGAATACAGGGAAGCTTAGAAATAGCCTACTTTATTTCCCATCTTTAATATATAAAAGTATTTTTAAAAATCATAAAAAATGCGAAAAAATTGATATAATGGAGTATAATTTTACATAAAAAATGAGAAAAAAATTAATAACACGGATTATGATTTTACATTACGTAATTCTTTGTATGGTTGATGCAATACAGGGCTTGAATACCAAATTCATGAAAAGTTCGACTTAGATTTGTCTTCCTTCGCAATTCAAAACCTTACAAACAAAACAACTTGATACCTTTGAAAGACAGGAAATAACTCACTTGATAAAAGTACAACTAAGCTGATGTGCTGCAGTAGCCAAGTGTTTAGCAAAAATAAAACAATAACAATATTTAAAAAAAAGTTAATGCATAACTTGAAAATAAAGGACAGTAAACATTTAACTTCATACGGAAGGCATAGTGATAAAAAGTGGACAGCCAAAAGTCTAGATATATGGGGAAGTGCATAACCATTAAAGATCATAAATAAGAATAGCAAGAACAGCAATATGTAGTTCTACCTTTCCTCAGAGTGTTCCTAGCCATGTTTTTGTAAAATATAAGGAAACTTATTAGATCTGGATACACAAATCATGTCCAATGAAGATACTACCGAAGTAATGTCGTCTGTTCATAAACGACTTATACAAGAAATAAAATACCACTCAGACTAAAAATACACCTATACAAAGTCATAATATCTTCAGACCTAACGTTTGAAATTATCATTTAAAGGTTTGGTTTCATGTAACAAAAAGCAAATATTTGATGATAGTGACTTTACAGGAGTGCTAATCTTTACGAATATTTGTTCATTGTTATCTCAATGTTTTTATTTGATAGTCATTTGTTTATTCTTAAAAAATATTCCGCATTGCTTGAAAAGTAGTTTTCCTTATAAAGAGTTAATTTTGCAATGCAATGTTTTTTCAAAGTGACATCGTTATCGGTAGGTAAACATAGAAAAAAGATATATTAGTAAATTATATCCCATGTAGGTAATTCCACTTTATCATTGCGTTCACCCAATTCTACACTTTATATCGTTCATATATTATCCTTCTGAGTGTAAGCTCTGCAACTTTTAAGAACATCATATTTTCAATCATTAATATAGTATAGTCCATAAATTATCGACAAAAGAGATTATTTCAGCTTTCCAAATGTGAACTTTTCGTTTTTATATAGCAACATCCCAGCAGCGCTTGTAAACGATATATATATATATATCTCCCAGTTAATACGATATTCCATAGCTTGCTTTTCCTATAATGCTTTCCTTGATAGAGGGTTGCTGCTAAGAAGAAAACTATTGAAGCAAGGATTTCTTCTAGTATTGTTGAAGTCATCCCTTCGAAAGTTTTACGGATCCTATCATTATTTGGTTGACCGTTATTGAATGTCTATCCCAGATGAGAACGGATATGTTTAAATTGTCATAGATAGTTTGCTGTCCACTTTTACTTGATAATGACACCACTGAATGCAATTTATCAGCAAATGATTACTTGAAATTATCAACACAACAGGTGCAACTAATGAAGCAGGAGCACATGAGATGTCCCCGGTTTTCGATGAGACTCGTGTTGCTCTTTAGTTTTGTGTTTAGTATTTTTGTAGACTGTCGTTTGTCTTTTCGTCTGTTTGTGATTTTTTATTGTCCCCTAGGTATCTTCTTTCCTCTTGTCCTATAAAAGTATAACCATAAAGATATAAATAGTTATGTACGTAATATAAAATAATAACTCCTTTCAGTAATGGGATTTCCACAGATTGCTTCGATTGTGATTGTAGCCATTGCTGCTGTAATATACACGTCTGTGGTATGATATATTAAATTTATTGATATTAGAACTTTATCAATTCTGAATGTAGATAACAATTATTATTACAAACATTTCCACTTTATTAATGCATTAAAACCACAGCAACAACAACAGCTTTTATCATAGTGTTTTTAACGTTTTTTTTTTATACATTTCAATCTTATCAGGATTTCGAATATCAATGACTTAAACATGCCGACCTTGTTGTTTTTGTTTTATTTTTTATGATGTTCTGTATCTCGTTGTAGGGTGGGATAAAAGCTGTTATATGGACAGATGTCTTTCAGAGTTTAATAATGGTAGTTGGTATAACGGCAATTTTGATCCAAGTAAGTGAAAATTACTCAATTTTATAATACTAATTATATGTTATATCTTCTGTTTCCCATACCAACACATATGCTTAGCTATTTCTGCCTACATTATTCGGAGACCATGAAGGACACAACTTCTTTATAGTAACTTCTATCGTAATTTCTAATTAAAAAAACAAGAAACATAATTTTCTTTACACTCTATAAACCAACTTATTACACTCGTAGATTGAACAATTTTTATAAGATGTTGAATCATTCGAATCACTAAGATGTTTCTACCACCATGTAAAATCGCCTTAGCCGCATTTGGCTACACTTTTCGGAAGTTTTAGTATTCAGATGCTGTTCAATTTAGTGGTCTTCCGATTGTTTTGAAACGAGCGCCACACATAAGTCTTATATAGATGCAAGGCGCGTCTGTCTTACAAAATTATTAACCTGGTATTCTTGATTAGTGTGAATTATAGTGTTGATTTTCCAAATTCATATAGAAAGAATGACGTTTCCCTTCAAGGTCGCACCACGATTGTGAAGGTTAGTGCGAAAAATAGAATGAACATTGTCAGTTATATTTATAGTGAATGGACTAATACATAGCAGAGTTATTCTTAAAATAGATTTGTGGGATAATTTAATTTGTATCAATAAATTGCAGTTTTATTTTTTGTGTATTTTGATGAAATTTAACGGAATATAATAGGTCCAGTTTTGCATCCTCAAAAGAGACAGTCATCTGGAAAACGATCCACAGTTTTGGCTGCTTAAAAATGACAAACTAAGTATGAAATCATGAAAACCTTCAAGTTAATTCGGTATTTCTATTTACTTTTCCTAATTATCTACTAGCACAAATAAAAATAACACAAAACAAAGAAGATGTTCAACTTTCATTTACAACTATCAACACAAATAAAAAAATGTCGAAACAGTCGGTAAAGGATGGTTCGTAATTCACAGGCACATCACTAAAACAAACAAACGAATTATTCGTTAAACTATGTTGTACAATGAAATTCATATTCTCTTTTTATATTTCAGGGTACAATATTAAGTGGAGGGGTGAAATCAACGTGGAGTATTGCTAATGATAATGGGCGACTAAACTTTTTCGTGTAAGTATATGCTAATCCATTTTATTTATATTATAGTATTAGAATGTTGGTCCTAAGTATGGGTTGTCATGGAATGAATATATAACACACCTGGGCCACTGGAAAGACCATCTTGACTACAATTCATTGTACAACAGCTTTGTGACTAGATATTCGAGAACCAAACACAATTATGTTATACATCTGAAATTGTTTGTCCACAGATCATAATCGTTGAAATATGGCACAAAATTTAAGTTTGGTAGAAATTGAAAAAATATAGATAAGAAACAAGTCGATGTGAAAAAGAGCACATTTAACTCACATAGGAATGCAAACTGTCTGTTCAAATATTTTATCAATCCAATAATCAAGTAGATGAGATCAGCATCAAATAGTTTTGATATTGTTGTTGGTGTTCTTTGTTTTTTTGTTTTTTTTTTGTTTTTTTAAATCAGAGTGGACTTCTACTAAGTATGAATTGTCACTTTCTGATAGATATTTTTACCTGCAATGGCTGCTTTTCCTTTATATAACATTTTGACTTATTCGTTGAATCCGTCTCATAGTGTAAAAGGAAGAATACATATGTAACAAAAAACAAGAACATTAAAAATCAAAAATCCTTATGTTTTTGGTAAATTTTATACATTGTTAATGTGGCATGTTTGATAGCTTTCCGGTTCTGAGCTCATCGTCCGGGGTTGGGGGTAATCTTAAGATCTGTTTAGTATATTTTTACGAAACGCGCGTCTGGCGTACCAATTTATAATCCTGGTATCTTTCATGGGTTTTTGGAGTGTAAATTGAGCATTGGACTGCTGATACCCTCGGGGTCTAACAGTCCACCGGAAGTGGTATCCACCCAGTGCTCAAAATACAAATGAAAGTTGTTATACTTAGTGCGTCCAAACGCTCTCCTGCTTTATCTTTATTAACCAAACATAAATCATGATATTGCGCAGTTTTAATAAAAAGTAATTTATGTTTAAAAAAATGAAAACAAAAAGTTTTAAATTTCATGCGTCTGAAGCGCTTTTCTGGATTAACCTTCATCAGGTACGCTCAACGCCGAATATTTAAAATCAAAGGATGTATAAGAACCGAAGCAGTTGAAGAGCTATGTGACCAAAATGGACACAGAAAGTAGCCTATATAGAATAAGAAGATGTGGTATGATTGCCAATGAAACAACTCTCCACAAGAGACCAAATGACACAGACATTAACAACTATAGGTCACTGTGCGGCCTTCAACAATGAGTAAAACCCATACCGCATAGTCAGCTATAAAAGGCCCCGAAATGACAAATGTAAAACAATTCAAACGAGAAAACTAACGGCCTGATTTATGTACAAAATAATGAACGAAAAACAAATATGATTTACAGCAGCAAACGACAACCACTGAATTACAGGCTCCTGACTTGGGACAGGCACATATAGAATGTGGCGGGGTTAAACTAGTTTGTTGGCGCCAACATTCCCCCTAAACTGGGACAATGGTGCAACAGTACAAACTATAAAAAAACAGTTGAAAAGGGCTTAACTCATCAGATGGATACAAAGCAGAAATACATCTAACATAAACTCAGTATGGACGAGAACACAAGAACAAACTTTACAAGACAATAAAAGATGACAAATATGAGAAACAGCAATACATAAATATAAGAAACAGCAATACATAAATATAAGAAACAGCAATACATAAATATAAGAAACAGCAATACATAAATATAAGAAACAGCAATAAACAAATATGAGAAACAGCAATAAACGACAACCACTGAATTACAAGCCCCTGACTTGGGACAGGCACATATAGAATGTGGCGGGGTTAAACTAGTTTGAAGGCGCCAACCCTCCTCCTAACCTGGGACAGTGGTGTAACAGAACAAACTATAAAAAAACAGCTGAAAAGGGCTTTACTCATCAGATGGATACAAAGCAGAAAAACATCTAACACAAACGCAGAGTGGACGTGGCAGGGTACGTATGCATCCCCACAACAAAAAGACACTAAATTCAGATATGTGAGTACTCGCAGTTACTGACAGCTAGTTCAGAGTTAACAACTAATAAAAAATATTATGCATCTAAGACTAAAATATCAATCAGTACACATCCAACGTCCAATGGATTTATAGTGTAAAGACGTCATTAACAGTCAGAGAAAAACATGACCTTTATTTAAGATCAACTTTGCTTGAGGGAGTTGAAACCTTTATTTCTTATAATTTCAAAATTATTAGCGGACAATTTTAGAAAGGTTTGTTGTAAACCACGTCAGTAACGAAGTATTGACTTCAAGCTGATGATACCCTCCGGGACTGATAGTCCATCAGCAGAGGTATCGACCTGGTGCTTGCAAAATGTGTTGATCTGTGAAAATTGAAAACATTGTTTGTCATTTGTTGAATCATAATGAAGTTATTAGATATAGGAAGATGTGGTATGAGTGCCAATGAGACAACTCTCCATCCAAGTAACAATTTATAAAAGTAAACCACTATAGGTTAGGGTACGGCCTTCAACACGGAGCATTAGCTCACACCGAACAGCAAGCTATAAAGGGCCCCAAAAATTACTAGTGTAAAACCATTCAAACGGGAAAACCAACGGTCTAATCTATATAAAAACGAGAAACGAGAAACACGTATGAACTACATAAACAGACGACAACTACTGTGATCAGATTCCTGACTTAGGACAGGTGCAAACATTTGCAGCGGGATTAAACGTTTTAATGGTACCAAACCTTATACATATTTATTTTTTAGAACAATAATTGCCATATTTTTTTCTGAGAACAATAAATGCCATATTTTTACAGTTGGGATACTGATATAACTAGACGTCATACATTCTGGAATTTATTTGTCGGCAGTATTATCAAAGGGACCGGAATGATCTTTGATCAATCATCTGTACAAAGAATTTGTTCTATACCAACACTGAAAGATGCAAAAAGGTATAGACTTGTTTTTGAGAAAAAAATATTTGACATACAATTTAGAACTTTTTTTTATGTCAGTGACTAAAATCATATCACCCATCTTTGTGCTTGTATCAACATGTAGGAAGGTTTTGTATTCATTTGTGAGTTTCCCTTTGCATCTACTTGTGTGCTTGTCTTTATGGTTATCTGTGTGCTTGTTGTGATTATTTTTGTGAATCATCGTAAGTCATTGTGAATCATCATTACACATCCATTACCGTGAAGTAATCTATAATTGGTCAAATAATATTAAAATCAAAAGAAAAAAATAAACAGCATAATAATCTATGCTAATAACGCTAAACGAAAAACGCTTTTTGCAGACATACACCAACTGCAACCCCTGGACTACGGGCTCATGGCTAGGAAACCTGTTAGTAAGCGTTCAAACATCATTCTAACGCGGGACAGTGATGTGGCAATACAATATTAAAACAAATTGTACAAATCAGTTGAAAAGAACTTGACTCACTAGATTGGTGATAAGCACACACCAACTTATAAAAAACAAAGTTCCGACTAAAGAGAACTGGCTGTTACAAAAACTGGTTCAACTTAAATATCTATCAGTAAACCAGAAAACAGATTTAAAGTAGAGATTTTATGAGCAGTTTTTCAAAAGCAGGACTTTGTGCAATGCAAAAATATAAGTTTTAAGATGGAAGACCATAGGTGTCAATAATTGGATAGTACTGAACATGGAATTATGTAAGTACCGATAAAAACCGATTCAAATATCGTCAATATATTTTGTACATTCAAATCATGATAAAATAACTAAGGGAATCGTATGAACTTCTAGCATAGGCAAGACCGTGTACGTCGACAGAGTAAACGTCTTCTCCAATGCATGCGCCCCTCGCAATTCCAATTCAGGTTCAAACAAAATATCACAATAGGGAATAGAAAACAATCGATCAATTAACAGATCAAAGAGACGTCTCTCGTGATTTTCGACACACATACATTATATTGGTCAACCAATTCGCTAAGGTAAAAATATAAATTACATGGGTTGCGTGTATTTACTTAAGCAATCAGTACACCGCTAACGGATTTAATGTAAATACGTCAGAAACCGTCTGGAAAAATCATGACATTGTGATTATTTGTGGGCTTCATCATGTTCTCATACGTGTGCACATGATTATTTTGATGTGTGATGACGTCTCTGTGTTCAACGGAGTATCGTGTGTTTTCCACTCACATATCATAGCAAGCCAAGTACTACCTCTTGCACCTGTGTGGCCGTAATGTTTTGCTAGATGCCGATAACGTTTAACTTGCATATGTAACATTTATTTGTCATTATTTTTGTGCATGTTTTTGTTTTGACCAATGAGCATGTCTTACTGATGATTTGTATGGGTGCTTTTTTATATTCAGGAAGGTTGTGTTTCGTGTTGATCTGTACTTTGTTTATTTTACGCATTGGTGATTGTTAGATTCGATTTCTGTAATGAGCAGTGAAAGGTGTATATAGTGTGTAATATGTTCCTAAACAACATAAAGTTATATGTCCAACAGTATTTTGAATTGAAGACCCTCGATACTCTGTTTTGATTTGAGCACAACTGATGAAACTTGTGTAGACTTAACGCGCGCCTGCCGTACAAATTATACGCATAGTATCTCTGATGAGTTTTTACTATTGTACGTTACTATCATCAATAGTTTATCGGTACATGCATCGATTATCGAATTTAATATCATCATTATTAATTTGTAGGAATCGTATTACTACTTAACAAGTGAAGTTCAAACCTAAATCAAGGATTCTGGTATCATAGCCTGCTTAATTTTTGAGTAAAACCTATACAAATGAAATATAACAAGACAAAATGCTTCTAGCGTATTTGGTCTCTGCCATCGTGGGATGATACTAACGTACGTTACTATCATCATTAAAATACCAATGATGTGATTGAAATAACATCTGTGTGATGATCTTGATGTCTCATTAACGAACATCTATGTCTTTTTTATTAGCTTTGCAAATAGATAATTAACAAAAAAACAAAAACAAAACCGAGAAATATAAGGGGGAAAAACACCCACCTGGAGGAGACAATTTGTTTTCTCTAGTAATAGTCAAAATGTATTCAAGATAAATGATATAATATACACTATACAAAACTTCAATATTACTGAAATGAATTCATTCCAGAGTGATGCTAATTGTGTCTCCAGTGTTCTTGATAACAGTTTCTATGGCCTGCTACGAAGGAATCGTTGCTTACTCTTATTACAACACGTTAGGATGCGACCCCCTAAAATCAAAACAAATTACAAATCCAAACCAGGTAAGGCCATATTAAAATTTATCTTGTTACGATACTTTTTTTTCAAAAACTATTACAAATGTCAAATGACATTTATTTACAAATATCAACCATATGGAAAACAAGATTGTACAATATATTCTAGCTCTAATTCTCCTGAAATTGAAAAGTTGTCAATCAATTTGACTGAGATCAAAGATTATTTAGACTTAAGAATTATCAAACATTTTCTCAATACTTTTCTTTTTAAACTGATGGAGGCAATTGGCAAGGATTGAGTGCTTACAAAACCACCACAAACAACCTTATTAAGAACTGCATAATAGTAACCTCTCTGCCCATAGTCAAGTGTCATTTAATGGTCTGCTTGAAAGAAATCTTTGCCTAAGAGGCGTTTGAACGTTGGCAGTTTCTAAAAAAAAAAAGGCGGAACAGTATTTCCTCAAAGTTAACAAATCTATTGTCTTCTATTACACAACCGTTTTGCTATTTATAATTGCGACCTTAACAATGACATAATTCATTATTATCGAAATAGTAATAACAAGAACTAACAAAAGAATATAAATACGAGTGCATTATAAGACACGAAAATAAATTTATTACTATATTTCAAAACCTTACGTTTGTACTTGAATTTATTTATTTCAAAACAAACTTTACAACCAACACCGGAAAGAACATTTGGAGATTTACTGCAAAATATTTTACAGCGACCCAAACAAACTACATTTATGAAGTTATCTATAATTATGTTTTGAGTATATGTTCTCAGTTGGATGTGAATGGGTTATCGATAATCCCATACATGGTAATATATATGTTTAATTGTGATCAAGGGATGTCAGGATTATTCATTGCTTTATTTTACTATTTTGTAGATAATCCCGTATATGTTTTAAGGGGGCTCTAGGGATGTCAGGATTATTTATTTAACTCTTTTGTAGATAATTCCATACATGGTAATGGATATGTTTAATAGGGTTCCAGGAATGCCAGGATTATTTTTGGCTTCATTATTCAGCGCTTCACTGAGGTAAACAACAAATTAGACGATATAAGAAATACGAACAGCGGGTGTCGATAATCATCTTGTGAAATACTAGGAAAGAACAGTACACCAAACAAACAACGCTTGTGGTTGTTTTACTTTATCTTAATCGGTGCTGGAAGATCTTCAATAATGAACCAAAAAATGCATATAATTTAAACGACGTTCCCTCGCATCCACATAAACGGTTGACGTTAATATTCATCGAGTATTTCTTCGACTTTATTTGTCTTTGCAATATAATTTCATTGAGTAATGAATAATAAACAAAATCACCTAGATATTTTTTCATACAGTTATCTTTTTGTTATTTATTTTGGCTATAAACATTGGTACATGATATCTATATCCTATGGTTAGCTTTGCTTAAGAAGTGATACAATCCCTTCGTACCTTCCGCAGACATGACAGATACATACTCTGTGTATCCCATTTAGTTTCTCCCTGATTAACCAAATGTTTTTAAGAACCTTTTCTAAATTTTAGTACATTATCGTCAGGTCTCAGCAGTTTATCAGCTCTGTTTTGGCAGGATATAGTGAAACCTCATACGAAACCAATGTCTGAAGCAAAGGCAACCATTATTTCTAAAGTTGCAGGTAATTTATTATATGTATGTATAAATGTAACAGTAATTTCGTTGAAAGCACACACTTTTGTTATTTGGCTTGACTTCTGGCCTTTTACTCTATTATATTACATGTTTTACCTAAATTATTTACATAGTTTATAGTTATGCTCTGCACATATATTTCGCACGACCCTTTATGGGAGCATGACCTTTGAAAATCAGCACGTTTTACTATTTTTAATGAATGTTCTACTGTTTCAGCTTTGGTAAAAAGTTAATCAATTTATGTTTTAATTTACTCCAATTTTTAAAAATAATACGACTTATGAATGTTTTTAGGTTCTTGTGCAACAATTTGGATCACTTCTAGAAATTGTATTATCAATGAATTTGATTTAAAGTATAGTTGTATTTACATACCAAATACATACATTTGATAAATAATTTGTATTTCAGTAATAGTATTTGGTCTTGTTGCAATTGCCATGGCTCTGTTGGTTTCTACTATTGGAGGTACTTTAACACAGGTATGGACCAAAAGACACATTTATATTTACGTGTTGTATATGTGTGTATGTATATGCGCGTAGTGTTGCTATGGTTTGGCTCTTCCAATTCAAATGGGACATGGGGTATATCCAATAAAAAGCAAAACATTGAGAGAAAGACACACTTAAATACCTTTAAATGACCCAATATTTAGTAAATAAACTCATCATAGATACCAGGATTAAAATTTTGTACGCGCGTTTCGTCTACAAAAGGCTCATCAGTGACGCTCAAATAAAAAAGGTTTAAAAGGTAAAAATAAAAAAACGAATTAGAAGAGCATTGAGGATCCAAAGTTCCGAAAGGTTTTGCAAAATACAGATAAAATTATCTATTCCTGGGTTAGAAAAAGCTTAGTATTTTTTCTAAAAAATTAAAGTTTTATTTACAGTTAATTTTTAATTATGACCATATCAATAATTTTCACTTATATAACTTGTAAATAAGTATATCATAAGTTAAGACAAAATGTACTACTAATTTTCTGCTGTCGGACGAAATTTAATTAACGGATGAATGTAAAGATCACAAACATACAATGTATATTTTGGGGTCTTGCAGAGAACAATAAGATAACGTAACAAAATTAAATCAATCGTACAATGAATAAAAGAAATGACGTCTTTATGGTTGGCTCTTCTATTAATTCCAAGCTTTCAGAAATGTTTTCATAAATAAATAAGACATGGACTTCAAAAATAGATTTGGGCTAGGTTTTTTATTTTCATTGTTATTAATGCATGTTATATTAGTATTACAAACCTAATCTTGAACTCTATCCTATTTTTTGGAAATTTATAGAAATTTATATGGGATGTCACATTGTGCGTCGATCTCTTCGGCTAACATATAATACGTTGTTCGGCTGTGCCTTTTTTATGTGCTGATTTAGGTTGTTTTACGTATTCGTTTTTATTCTGTAGTTAGTCACCACTTCGGTGTTAACATGTATATCTATTATATAGTCATTTTTATAAATTTACTGTTTGCAAAAGTATGAATTATTCTAAATACTAAGGATTTTCTTATCCCAGGCATATAACTTTAGCCGTATTTGGCACAACTTTTTGGAACTTTTGGTCCTCAATTGTCTTCAACTTTGTACTTGTTTTGGCTTTCGATTTTTTTTTATCTGAGCATCACTGATGGGTCTTATGTAGACGAAACGCGCTTCTGGCGTATTAAATTATAAGCCCGGTACCTTTTGATAGCTATTATTTGTGTGTGCTCTGTCCTGTATGTTCTTCCATTTATTTGTATTGTAGTCCTGTCATGTAATCCTGTCATTTTAAAGTTATATTTAACATTGCCATAAAAGCGGGAGGTTTGGCTAGCCACAAAACCAGGTTCAACCCACCATTTTTTCTTAAAATGTCCTGTACCAAGTCAGGAAAATGGTCATTGTTATATTGTAGTTCGATTCTGTGTGTGTTGCATTTTAGTGTTGTGTTTCTGTTGTGTCGTTGTTCTCCTCTTATATTTGATGTGTTTCCCTCAGTTTTAGTTTGTAACCCGGATTTGTTTTTTTCTCAATCGATTTATGAATTTCGAATAGCGATATACTACTGTTGCCTTTATTTAACGAACGCCTTTAATCTGAATTGGTTGATTCTACATTTTATTAACTACCACAATCTGTAAAAAGTATCAATTAACAAAAAATACTTTCTTTTTTTTAGACAGGAAATAAATAAAAGTGATAAAAATGAATGCATGTTTTTAATTTTATAAACCTTACAGTATATTTGTTTAGTTTACATTGTATTTTTGTTTTTATAAACAATGTGTATGAAAATAACTATTTCAAGAAAGATGTGATAAACATGATTTTAGTATACAGTCAAAATCAATGTCAGTGGTAGACTTATTTTCTTATATCAAATACGGTAATGTTCACACCCATTTTGATATTCCATTTGATAACGGACTTTCCGTTTTGAGTTTTCCTTGGAATTTTTGTATATTTTACTTTTTATTCTATGTCATGTCTAGGGCATATATTATGTAGGTTAAAGATTACGTAGATGTAATTAATTTTTGTGATCTGAAATTGTATTTGAGGCATTAGATGGGAAAAATAGCAAACATTATCACGTGTTGACCTACATTATATCAGATATGAATTAAAATCTCCTTTATAAAGTTACACAACCAATTGGTGGATGCTACTGTTGGATGACTCATCGTTCACGATGGTATTATCAGCCCAGTCATCAGCACTTCCTTACTGATATACAACATCAATGATACGGTCATTTTCTGAATTTACTCGGTCTATAAAAGTTTGAATTATAAAAACACTGAGGTTTTTCTACCCAAAGGCATATATATGTATCCTTGACTTATTTGATTAATTCGCCACTGAAGAGTCTTATGTATACAAAACGCGTGATAAATTATAAGCATGGTATCTTTCGTGAGTTTTTAAATTTAGACATGGTGTTCACGAATATACTGATTCATGTAACTAAAAAAGATGCCCCAATTTTGTGTATCAAAGATTCTCAATACTTATTGCATATCTTTTTGTTATGTAATACTATCAGTTTTTCTCAACCTTAACCCTTCATTGGGAGAAATTTAAAAAAACTGGTTTCACAATATAGCTACCTTTGTTTATAGGATTTGTGAATACATCACGTTGAAACCTTTTACTCATGCTTCTCTATGATGAAATAAATTTGAAACACGATGATATTCTTGTAAATAGATGATGATACATTCTAAACACTCACCATGGAGAAATTCCAAACGGCTAAACATTTGTTTGTGGAATAAAGACAAGTAACAACATGATAAAAATAACAGCTCATTCAATATTACACAAAAATACAAAAACTAAAAATTCAAGAAAAACATCCTACAGTAAGGTGCTTACTGTTTGCATCTTACGGATGTTAAGTTAATGTAATGCTTTTAGTCTATTAGAACAACATACAATGGTACTTGTTTATTCTGCTGATTTCAAGCATTTAGATTGAATGTAGATTTTCGGTGAATGTTTTGTTTTTCGATTATATCACACAATTATCAGTAATAATTTCCCTTGAAACGATATAATAACAAAATGTAGACTTTTCAGTTCAAAATGACACCATTTCAATGTCTATTGTTACACTTTAGTTTGGCATGTTTGCAATCCAAAATCAAACAAAGTGTAAAACGGTTCAGTTTCATATTTTGTTGTAATGACCTTTTTAGTGTCATTAGCTAAGCATGGTATTAGTATCAGTCTCAGTCTCAATGCTTTGTGTTGAACTCGCTGAGTCTTTTAATATTTACCTCAAATGATTTCGAACTATCACAACTAAGAAATATCGGCCATAAGTACTGTTATATAGTCAAGTTTTGAATAAAAAGATTGACTTCTTATTTCAGTTACTTTAAAAGTACTATAATAAGCACACTTTTAAATTTCTGTTTAGATTGGAGGTACTATATTAGCTATAGTTGGAGGTCCATTGACTGGATTGTTTCTTCTTGGTTGTTTCTGCCCATGGGCTAATGCAAAGGTGAGTGAAATCAAAAGCATGTTTGTTTCTATTAGTACTATTTTATAACAGAATGTTAATGAAAATACATTGAAAATATTAGGAACGTATGTTTAGAATCAAATATGAAATATATTTTATTATTATACTTCACGTAAAAATGCAATATTTTGATTGGCTTATACGAGGGTGTTAATTTACTCTATTCTATGGTAAATACTCTATTACCCTTCACGGAGACGCTTGATCAAGTGTGCGCTTTATTAAATACGACTCTATCCTATGGCAAATACTCTATTACCCTTCACGGAGACGCTTGATCAAGTGTGCGCTTTATTAAATACGGATGGTTGTTATGTACAAGACGTCATAGTTTATTACTTTGAATTTGAAATTTAATCGACAGTAATAACAGAACATTCAGTATAATAAATTAAATAACACATATCTGAGAGGGTGATAGAGCAGATTGTCAACCCTCGAAAAGACATTGTCAACCTTGGCTTCGCCTCAATGACAATGTTTTCTCGGGGTAACAATCTGCTCTATCACCCTCTCAGCTATGTGTAATTTATATAATGTTGAATAATAATTTTTGAAGTTTTGAAAAAAAATAAAATGTAGTCCTTACGCATCCATTCACCACCGCTGGTTCAAAATAAATTGACGCATTTGCTTTTATGCTAAGAAATATAAAATATCATATAATTGGGGTTCACAGCTAAACTAATCATCTCAAATAAAGCGGGAAGTTTAACTCTGTGATCTGATTAAGTCCTGGTTGTTATTGGGTTTTAAACCAATTTGATTGAAATATAGATCCTGTGTCTAAGCTTTGGTTACAAGGATCTGGCAACACTTCGTTTTACTTTTTGTTCCGCTAATTATTGCAATGACATTTTCAAATCTTTGACGGTGTGTATTAATCCGACAAAACCAGAGGATCCCCAAAAGTCTTTAAAACAGAAAGAAGAATTGAACGTTTTCAGATACTTGTAAAAAAGAAGCAAAGCGTGGAAACACAGGATCTGTATTTTAATATGATTGGTGTGAAACAAACAAAATCTTTTTATCTTATGTTAAACAGTCGAGGCAAATAGGAAATTGCATAATATTATGAAATATCCTAATTTAATACATTATTATGAAACTTCATAATATTAGATAATCGGCTAATTTTGTAACTATATTATGGGATGTCGTAATTCATAAAGTTATGGAAATACATAAGATAAGAAAATTTTTATAATTTTAAATATTTTTTTCGGTCGTTTTTTGGGCCCCGTGACTAATTTTGGGAAATTTCTAGAAAAAAAAAGTTATTTTTGAGTGGCGTTTATACCAGGTCATAATGAACAACTGTCAGATTTTTATCGACACGCCTTAAATTCTCCCGACACCACCCTCTTTGCTTGTTGTAAATAATTTAACAAAGGGAGACAACTAGTATCGGTTTAAAATACAACTTGCGGTTATAGTTCTTTGATAAATCGATCTGTTTATTGCTAATATAAGGTTGAAGATGTGTTTTTGTTATATTTCTAATCTAATTTGAATGTGATTTACAGCTGCATATTTCATTTTCATTGTTGAAATCTTGAATTATCTAGTTTAAGACGTTTGAATGGAATATACTTAAAATAAATTTTAAAGGTTTATCTAAACAATTGTCTGTTGTCATATGCATGTTGAAACAATAAAATATCAAAACACCAAATAAAATATTATCTATCAATGTTTATTTAATGCATAACGATGTATTTGTTAACTAAAATAATGCCAAATGACAAAATTATTTAACAACTAAAATCATATGTCTGATCTTAATTTTGTAAATAGCGATATTTTCTTTACCGCGTGTACAAACTTTATATTTCTTTTAATTTTAGAATTATTTTTTAAATATTTTACAGTGTTCTTTTTTTTTATTTAAGTACTATTAATTGGATCATGGAAATATTATATTGTCAATAAACTATTTCCATGATCGGATAATTATGATAAGATTAAATCGTAAGATACGGCATTTAAGTGCATAACGATGTATCATGGTTTATTTTCATCACTGCTGTCAAGATATGTAGCGTGTACAACATGTAATAACAACTCATCTTGGTATGATTCAATCACAAAAGTTACTGTTTACAAAAGAAACGATTGTAGAAAATTTATGTTGTAAAAAGGAGTATTTGTTTTAATAACACACATTTGTACATATTTTTAACGAAACAATTGCTATATTACGCACACGTTTTGATTTAAATGATTCATTAAGTTTTGAATATTTTATAATTAAAAACTTTTTTATCGAATTTAAATTTTATGTTTTTTTATTTAATTTGAAAGTGGTGTTTTGTAAATATCTGCATTTGCATGTCCGTCTGCCTGTTTGTGATTTAGTTAAGAAAGAGAGCATAAAAATCAGACAAACTCATTATAATAAATATACATAAGAATAAAGGAATACTTGTATCACAATTATACACAAATTAAGAAATATTTTTGTATCAGAAAATTATATAAATATAACGTGAAAATTGATATGGAATAGAACAATTTTAATTGAAAGACTACGCTTTCGATAATTTTAATTTACAGGGAAGTGGCAAAGTAGGGAAGAGCAACAAAAAAGTTCATACAATTGCGAAACTCTCGAGTCAAGTAGACAAAACGATCTTTCGGCTTCAAAATGATTTACTTTGAAGAAGAAAAAAAAAATAGTGCTGTTTTACAAAATCGTTTATCGAATTTCAGTATATGATAAAGTTTCTTTAATTGACAAAAATATGGGGATTTTGAACTTCAATCTAGTAAGGTGATTATTTAAGATGCTTGCGTAGAAAATTATTATAGACTACATAATTATGATAATAAGAAATCGTCATATTATACATTTATTTCAATATGGTAGTTTGTAAAGATCTAACCAATCTTTCACAATGCTCAAACAAGCGCTTACTTTGGAAGTGTTTTTTTTTTTCGGCTACATTAACAGGGACCCCAAAGGGTGACTGGGGGATAGAAGTATGGTCACGTAGTCTTCTTTCGACCGGCAGTAAAACGCTTGACAAAGTCCTTTTGGCTGTGCGGGATGTACGTATTTGCAGTCACATCCAGTCAGAATGGGGACGTTAAGTCTGATGCCTCATGTAAAGAGAGTGTAACGCTATCAGTAAGTTAAGAACCCTTAAAACAACTCTTTGAGGGGTCCGTAGGTGGCCTGTTGCAAGGCAACATTTCTGTCCCTATCCAAAATACTCTCATTTTAAAGTGCCAGTCCAAATTTCCCCGACCTTCATCCTGGATGGCCACTTATACAAGACCTGCCTATTGTATTATTGTTAACTTGTTCTCGTCCTAAACATGCATTAAATATTTTTCACTGGACGTTAAGCAACGAAAAAATCAATCAATCAATACTTACCAGTTTATATATATATATAAAATTGAGAATGGAAATGGGGAATGTGTCAAAGAGACAACAACCCGACCATAGAACAGACAACAGCAGAAGGTCACCAACAGGTCTTCAATGCAGCGAGAAATTCCCGAACCCGGAGGCGTCCTTCAGCTGGCCCCTAAACAAATATATATACTAGTTATATATATATATATATGTATAAAGGTTTATTCTTCTCCTCATTGTTATGCAATGATATGTGCATAACACTCGGCATTTTACTTTGCAGTAAGTACACAGGTTGGTTAATTTTAAAACAAGTACCTTTCTTTATTTACAACAGCTTATTCCCTTAAATCTAACATAAGAAATAGAAAGAAAAAATAATGTTTGCGTTATATCGCACAGGTTTGCGTTATTTCGCAAATGTTTGCGTTAGTTCGCAAAGGTTCGCATTATACGCAATTGTTTGTGTTATTTCGCAAAGGTTTGCATTATAACGCAAACATTAGGAGACATATAAGAAAACAAATGTATGGGACTTTTACTCTTCCGTAAAATAACGACAAAAACGAAGTTAAATCTTAAATGACATTGCCTGTTTATCTATTTTTATTCATGGGTAGATCAAAACATTTTTTTTAAGACTTATCGTTAAAGGCCATACGGTGACTGTTAGTTCTTATCCTCTACGTATTTTGGTCTATAGTGGACTGTTGTCTCATTGGCAGTCTTACAGCATTTTCGTTTTATAGTTATTATATGAATATCTTTCGACAAAACCGTATTAATATATAATAGTTATCTACCCAGTATATAATACTGCTTCCTTTTTGTGTTCATTAGAAATACGAGATTGCAAGTGTCGTCCGTATCATACTTATTTATTATGACATTCTTCTATTGAGTATTTATACCTTGTCATGAATCCAGGAGTTTCGTACATATTGTGCCGAATGTAGGTTTATAATTTATTATAATTACTTACCATACACCACTAGATCGGTATAAACATTGTTTCACCTTTTTAGTTTAATGTTATTTCTATTTCTTTCGAATGTAAAATGGTGGAAAGAAAAACAGTTGATGAAACCCATTTGAATAACGTATACAGGATGTACAATGATATATTAAAATGTCTATAGAAGTTGGATCTTTGAACGTGTAGTTGCATATACATTGTACACAAAGATACTGTTAAATGAAATTAGATATCCTGCATTTATCATGCTTTTCAATTATATATGGTCGAATCGCAGAAAGATCCCTCCTTTAAAGTATTGACAACTACAAATCTGCATTGACAATAATATATTGGTGTACATTAGATACACCCATTTGGACTAACGCCCTCAAGGTGTATATAAAACAAACAAGTATAAATTAATGTCTACAGAAATGGAAATAATACATGTACATGTAACTGTGCGTATTGCTTTTTGTTTCTTTATTCTACATTGGCTAGAGGTATAGGGGAAGGGTTGAGATCACACAAAACATGTTTAACCCGGCCGCATCTTTGCGCCTGTCCCAAGTCAGGAGCCTCTGGCCTTTGTTAGTCTAGTATGTTTTTTAATTTTAGTTCACTTATATGTTTTGGAGTTTAGTGTGACGTCCATTT